GAAATTGTTTTAGTAGCAACTTGTTCTGTCGGTTTGGCTCTGGTTGGCCATGGTGTCATATCTTGTGTCACAGTATACTAGTAGTCCTTACAAGTTCGTGAAGTGCTTTCGCAGTTTTTCCTGTTATTACCTTAGTGCTAGGATTATCATTTTCATAGGTGTTGTTTCTTCTCACTCCATTTCTCTTTATTAGTATCTTTCTGGATTGTTTTTCATTAGTACAACGTAGCTTCCTGAGGAGTGTTGTGCGAAAACTAGTTCGAAGTACAATTTTTGTTCATCATTTCTTCCACATCACATTTTTTCTTTCTTCCATGTTCTTCACTGCCTTCGTATACACTCGTTTTTTGAATACAATAAAAGCCTTTGTGAAAATGTCGGTTCAGCTCGTTCTGTTGATCGCAATTCTAAAATTATTATTATTATTATTATTTTTTTTTTTTTTTTTTGGTTTATTATGTACTATTATGTGAGATGAAATAAAACAGGAAAGGGCACAGGCCCTGATACGTGCAAGGGATAGCAATCAACCTTGCACATGTGTTCTAAAAACATGTAAATGTAAATGCAAAACAATTAAAAACAAAAACACAAACAATGAGCAATAACTTCAGGACTGGGCACAAGTCCTAAACCAGTAAAAGGTGCAAGAGATAATAATCAACCTTGCGAGTTCGCATTATTATTATTATTATTATTATTATCATTTCTTGTTTTCCCTTGCATATCATCCCTTCATCATTCTGTGTGACCTGTCCTATGGGCAGGTGAGAAGGCGTCTCTGCCTGTTCATTTGGTGAAGTAAAATAAACAACAACAACAATAACAAGCCGTACATCTCACACACCACGAGCAGTATTTCTGTACACGCAGAAACAATGTACATTGTAAACTTCAAATTTGCCGTTATGTGAGCGAATCAACTGCAATTATTTATGCGAGTCCAACAATTTCTCACCGCTCTCAAAGCATCCTTTACATAGGCAGTGGTACTTGTGACTGTGCGCGGTTCTTCATGTTCTGGCTGCTCGCTGACAACAGGTTCTTCTACGTCTGGCGGAGTGTGACTGTAAGTCTGCTCCAAAAGTTCAACTGGAATAACAGCGACTTCATCACTCCCACTGTTTCCTGTTGGAGCGGCAGCAGGAGTTGCGCCGCGACAGGAACGCTTTACAAAAATTCCAGGCTCTGATCTGCTGGCTAGAGCTTGGCCTTTTGGGATGTCCCTGAGACATCGAAGAAAAGCCTTCGAGTCAACCAAAACACGATTAGAACGAGGATGATCGCCTGAGCCCTTGGCATTCGAATCGTGTTTTGGTTGACTCGATCGAAGACTTTCCTTCGATGTTTGTACCGTTGAAGACGCGTCGAGCGCGTCCCAGCAGGGATCACACTGTACAACAGTACACAGTCAGGTCACCGTGTAGCCGTGCATGCTCACTGTACGTAGACTCTACTCTGTACTGTAGACTGTACTGTACTAGCCTGTAGCGTGCACAATCAACACCAGCTCGAGCACCGTACCGTGCAACCGCTTTTGGACAATCGTTTCAGGCCGCGCGCGCCCCGAGCCTAGTCTAGCTAGACCCGGCGCCCTGCCTTTTATTTTTCGAAACCTAGGTCGAAATTGTTGAGGGGGGGCGCGCGCCCCCCCCCCCCGCGCCCCCCCCCCTAAACCCGCCACTGAACACGCAAGGTTATGACTATGCATGGAACTCTCCATCCACGCGCTGATGTAGCCCGTAAGTACGTCAGTCGCAAGGTGGGTGGACGTGGTTTGCAAAGTATCCCGATGATGTTGTCACCATGGAGAAAAGCAATTTGCAGCATTATGTGCTTCATCCAGATGCGAAACACATGGAGCTTGCTGCGCCCATTCTGTGGCCACATCTGGATGCTCCACCGGACACCTCACAGGTGGTGAGGTGCTGCTTCAAAAAGAACATCTCTTGGCGTGGACCCAGAAACCCTTGCATGGGCAGTTTTTCCGGCAAATAGAACAACTGACCAACGAGAATACCTGGAGTTTGCTGACAAAGGCTGATCTCAAGAAGATCACAGAGAGCCTGATCATCGCGGCACAACACATGGCCTTGGCAACTAACCTGCTCAAAGCCCAAATCTTCCATCAGGGCAAAAGCCCCCTGTCTCGAATGTGTGGGAAGGCAGGCGAGTCGGTTGCCCATATCCAATGCGAGTGTTCAAAGCTGGCTGGACGGGATTATTTGGAGCGTCTTCATCGAGCACCAAAGTCTTGATATTGTTTTGATTGATTTGAAACAAACTCCCAGTAAAGTCACATATTTGTCTGATACAGAATGTTTCTTTCTGAACGCTCCATGGATTCACTTCGAATGTCCCGTTCTTTCTTCTTCAAAAATACGGTGCCCACTCGCACTTCGAACTGTGCACGGCACTTTCAAGACCTGACCAGCCTAGCCTGCAAGATCTGCACTGGCAGGCACGGGTGCCGACTGATCGAACTGCACTGCAGAGTCAAACCGCAGACCTGCAGTCTATGCCGTCGAATGTTTTTTTGGCGGGAAAACCTCTTTTTGTCTTGTTTTCGAGCCATTCAGGGATTTTGAGAGAAATCCAGGGATTCTGTATGTCTTGTCAAGGTAAACAGATTTTGGTGGTTGGCCAGTATGGATTTGTATTCGCTTTATTACTGCTTGTTCTTTGTGGTTTCTTTGTGTCTTTCCTGTTGTTTTTTCGTTTGACCTTTGTTCTCCTCCTGCGCCTTCGTCATTTGTTGTTATAATAATAAGAATTGAGACACAATCAAAAGTTTGCGTTGCTGTGTGGCTGGGACCAGAGTAGAACAACACTATTTCTATTTCACTAAGTCCCTATCCAAATAGCAAAGGGACGTCTGACTACAGCTGACAATCACAGGTGATACACAAAAAAGAAAGAGCATGAAGAACGAGCACATTCAGATCCTACACAGAGAGGTTGCATGTAGCTGAGCCGTAACTAGCGAGAGTTTGAAAGAAAGGTAGACGATGTCCAGATGTCCAGAGTAGTAACTGGGCACCGTCAAGAGGTGAACCCCTCGTCCTTGGATGAAATAGGTTACATGCATGAGATACCCAGACGACAGCGCACAGTAAATGGAGCAACAAATTCTTCCTACATTTTCAGAACTGCATTACAGTGGCTAATGTAAAATCATGTATCCCTCTATAACTTTTAAATGTTCTGAAGTTTTAGGAAGCGCAGAACGAAGATGATATGGCCTTTAGATTACTAATTGAAGCCATGAGGCATTCGCCCATTGCGGATAATTCACTAAAACAATCACAGATTCTGTTCGAAAAGCATTGACATTTCCAGAACCTTCAAACCTTTTGGCACGCACTTCCTTTATTCCTGCTCCATTTTTCATCAATATAACAGGGGGGGGGGGGGGGTTGTCAACATAACGAAACATTTATTAAACGAACCATAAAGAAGACCGAGGATTTGTGTACCTCGCTATGATCCGCCAAAGACTATGAATCCCTGGGGAAGTCCCAGTTTAGGTATAAAGTGTCATATTCAGTTCTAATGCAATTCGTTATAATTCAAACCAGTATATTGTTCATGCTTCGGCGGCCAGTTATTTGTCTGCATTGTCAAACTATGCATCGTTAGAAATTGTGTTTTCTTAGCTTTTCAACAAACCTCTTGCTTGACAATAGGAGAAAAAATGACGGAGACTATTAACAGTGGTTGATGTGAACTGTGTGTCTGCAGTGTCGAACAATGCATCGTTAGGAATTGTGTTTTCTCAGCTTTGTAACAAACCTCTTGCTTGCCAATAGAGGGAAATGATGTGACGGAGACTTTATTCACAGTGGTGTATGTGAACTGTGCAACATAACCCAATTGCTTATGAATCATGTTGTGGTTAGGAGCCGAGGTTATTTCTGAAAACAAGGTAATGATTCGGCTTTTTAGATTAGAAACTCGGATGTTGAGCCAATAATAAATGTAGAAAGGAAAGAAATATGGATACGAGTTGAGAGTAACTCTCCATCACTGCAACCAGGTACTATACAGTCAGAAAGTGCAACAACTAGGCACAAAACTGACAGAGTACTGAGACATTCGCCGTCCTGACACCTAGCTTCAACCTTGCCTTCCCCTCTTTGGTCTTACCATAACTTTGAACCTTCCAAGTTGGAAGGCTGTCGGTTAGCGCTACGGTGATGTGTTGAAGCTAGGTGTCAGGACGTCGAATGTCTCAGTACTCTGTCAGTTTTGTGCCTAGTTGTTGCACTTTCTGACTGTATATAGTACCTGGTTGCAGTGATGGAGAGTTACTCTCAACTCGTATCCATATTTCTTTCCTTTCTACATTTATTATTGGCTCAACATCCGAGTTTCAAATTGCACACCTGATGAGCCGTCACGAAGCATACGGCGAAACGTACGTCGTGTGAAACAACTTGTTTTGTAGTCAACTAGTCCATCACTATGTCATGCATGAGGAGTACTGTAGGAGTTTGGCTTTCGGCTTGTACAATTCGTTTTCGCAAAGCTTCACCTTCTTTACTTATCTTTGATATTTATGACCCACCCAAGTTGGGTGGTGTGCTGCTTTGCTGCTTCGAATTGTAGTTAGACCGCTTTGTCAAATATCCTACTGGTCTCGTCATAGTCAAGTAACAATTGACATTCTTTGGTCTGTTGGGACTGTAGCTTGTGCTCATTTTCGTTGCGCTTGCCCTCCCCTCTTTGGTCTTACCATAACCTTGAACCTTCCAAGTTGGAAGGCTGTAGGTTAGCGCTACGGAGATGTGTTGAAGCTAGGTGTCAGTTTTGTGCCTAGTTGTTGCACTTTCTGACTGTATATTGTACCTGGTTGCAGTGATGGAGAGTTACTCTCAACTCGTATCCATATTTCTTTCCTTTCTTTTTAGATTAGAACTACAATATCCTAGACTTGGTGTTTTGTGCACTACCCGGAACTAAGCAAGAACAACATTGTCTTTGTGCTTTGTCGTTTGTAGACGGTTGGGCAATAATCAGATCCAGACGTTAAGTGACGGTGTGTTCTCTGATCTAACAAACCTCCAAACACTGTAAGTATTCTCAACTGCACCACTGAACGCAGGGAACAGTAATTATAACTGTGTGTATATAGAGTACTGCTGGAAACGTGATGAACAAACCTCTAATATCTGTGAGTATTATTATCTGCTGCAGCGATTGAAGGAAACAGTTGTAGACGCTGTGTGTGAAATGCTTTGTTATGAAGCCTCTGATTCTCGTAAGTGTCAGGAACGAACGAGCACACGGCACGAGAACAACTGCTTTTTCTTAACGGTATATTTCGCTTGATCGAACATAATAAGTCAGTCAAAGACGACCGGATATGTGAAGCAAATGACAGCGTATACAGTAAATCGCACACAGCGCATATAGCGTATACCCTGCAGGATGCATCAGCGATACGGCGGAGTGGAAAGACTTGGAGAAGTGTTGGAGCTAGGTGTAAGGTCTCCGAATGTCCCAGTACTCCTTTTCAGTTTTGTGCAATTTTGTTGCAATCGCTGACCTTATAAGATCTGGTTACGTTGATGGACAGTTAGTTAAAATTCGTAGCATTTTTTCCTTCTCCTTTTTGGTATGGTATTGATTTATTTGAATTCGGTATCTCAACAGTACATTGTACAACTTGGGAAGATCCGAATGACATAGATACATAAACATAAAAGTGGAGTAGGTGCTACAGCGGATCATTTTATCGCAGATTGTGGGACTAAACTAATACCAGTATGCAAGTACACAAGAAATAAAAGCTGAATAAATACGACTGCATGACATTGGAGAAAAGCACCAATTAGAGCAAAACAAAGCGACACATCACTCATCGAAAACATTTTCAAAAAGGAGCTGTTTTAACCGGGTACAATGTGGCCCGTCATTAAGAAGGCAGGCAAAAAAAAAAAAAAAAATTTCACGGTTCGCGTGAGACTCGGCCAAAGGCCCAGTTTTCCGCATCCGCAGGAACGCCACCACCCTCTTGGATCAAGGCGCAGATGCAGCTCCTAGAAGGCAGGCAAGATGGGCGTTAAATGCAGAAGACGTATTGCAAGACTTCATTTCAAAGGGCAGAGCATTCCAAAGTAAAGCAATCCTACTAGACAATGAGCGATACCCGCATGCAGTCTTATATCGGCATAACGAAAGATTATTTGCAGAAGAGCCGCGAGTGGTGTAAGCAGGTGTACTATGCCTACAAAATAGAGAATCTAAACTGGCAACCGGGTGAGCTACTTTACACTGAAAGATAAATTTAATGAACAACTGTAAGAAACGGTGGTCCAGAGGACATAGCTTAAGAGAGTGGTAAAGGGGGTCCACTTCAGCACAGTAATGGGCACCACAGGCAGCTCGGATCGCACGACGGTGAACAGCAAATAGGCGCCCACGGTCTTTTGCAGATAAGCAGGGTAAGAACGATTGAAATGCAAATTCTAGATCAGATTGAATTACGCATAGCACATAAAGGCGACAAGCGCACGGGGACAGTTGACGAAAAGAACGCCGTAGAGCACCAACTTTGCGTGACACCTTGGCAACAAGCTTATCACAATGAGGTGTGAACGAGAGCTTGTTGTCAATTACAACCCCCAGACTTTTCACCATAATTTTTTAGGCTCACCATCCGAGATGAAATTTTCCTTATTCTTTTCTTTTCTTGTCATGGTTGGCTATCACCCCTCTCTCGCACTTTGCCTGCCAATTAGTCATGGACCACGAGTTAAGTGTAATAATTAAATAAAACGTTCCTCTTTTATTTGAAACTCGGGTATTGAGCCAATAATAAAAGTAGAAAGGAAAAGGACATATGGAAACGAGTTAAGAGTAACTCTCCACCACTGTAACTAGATACTATATGCAGTCAGAAAGTGCAGCAACTAGGCACAAAACTGACAGAGTACTGAGACATTCGACGTCCTGACACCTAGCTTCAAAACATCTACCCGAGTTTCAAATTGCACACCCGATGAGCCGTCACGAACCATACGGCGAAACGTACGTCGTGTGAAACAACTTGTTTTGTAGTCAACTAGTCCATCACAATGTCATGCATGAGGAGTACTGTAGGAGTTCAGATTTTGGCTTGTACAATTCGTTCTCGCAAAGCTTCCCCCTTTTTAACTTATCCCTTGATATTTTTGACCCACCCAAGTTGGGTGGTGTGCTGCTTTGCTGCTTCGAATTGTAGTTATACCGCTTTGTCAAATCGCCTACTGGTCTCGTCAGCGTCCAGTGACAATCGACATTCTTTGTTCCGTTGGGACTGTAGCTTGTGCTCGTTTTCGTTGCGCTTGCCTTCCCCCGTTTGGTCTTTCCATAACCTTGAACCTTCCAAGTTGAAAGGCTGTCGCTTAACGCTATGGAGATGTGTTGAAGCTAGGTGTCAGGACGTCGAATGTCTCAGTACTCTGTCAGTTTTGTGCCTAGTTGTTGCACTTTCTGACTGTATATAGTATTACTTGTATTATTATTATTATTATTATTATTTGAAACTCGGGTATTGAGCCAATAATAAAAGTAGAAAGGAAAAGGACATAATAATGGAAACGAGTTAAGAGTAACTCTCCACCACTGTAACTAGATACTATATACAGTCAGAAAGTGCAACAACTAGGCACAAAACTGACAGAGTACTGAGGCATTCGACGTCCTGACACCTAGCTTCAACACATCTCCGTAGCGCTAACCGACAGCCTTCCAACTTGGAAGGTTCAAGGTTATGGAAAGACCAAAGAGGGGAAGGCAAGCGCAACGAAAACGAGCACAAGCTACAGTCCCAACGGAACAAAGAATGTCGATTGTCACTGGACGATGACGAGACCAGTAGGCGATTTGACAAAGCGGTCTAACTACAATTCGAAGCAGCAAAGCAGCACACCACCCAACTTGGGTGGGTCAAAAATATCAAAGATAAGTTAAGAAGGGGGAAGCTTTGCGAGAACGAATTGTACAAGCCGAAATCTAAACTCCTACAGTACTCCTCATGCATGACATTGTGATGGACTAGTTGACTACAAAACAAGTTGTTTCACACGACGTACGTTTCGCCGTATGGTTCGTGACGGCTCATCAGGTGTGCAATTTGAAACTCGGGTATTGAGCCAATAATAAAAGTAGAAAGGAAAAGGACATAATAATGGAAACGAGTTAACCCTTTGTGTACGGACTGTACAACTTTCGATCCCCTGGGATCGAAACTTTTCAAAATTTCAATCGATCGTAACTCAGTCGTTCCTGAGTTATATCCGAAAACTAAAGGATGTAGGTCAAAGAGAAAACTCCCAGCTGTCCATTGAACCAATCGCTGAAGCGCTCCGATGTGTGGTTCCAGAGTTACGAAGCTCGAAAGTCGAATCGCGGCAAATGTCGCTCAATAGCCGCTCGCGCAAATTTGAACGAGGGATTTCCCCATCATTCTGGGCATGCAGTGACGTAGAAACACGTTCAAAATGGTAAACGGACGCACGGCAGTTCGTAAATTTCTTTTGAAGTAACAGTTAGTTGTTACGAGCAAGGAGAGCGAAATGGCTGATGCAAGACGACTTCTGTCGGAATATTGGCGTTGCAGCTAAGACGCTGGGCTGTAGCGCTGGCGTTTTGACCTTCGTGGTGGCAAGCGTGGGCTCAATGTGTTGCTCTTGCGACGAGCTTTCCAGGAAGCCCAAGATTGAAAAATCGTCAAAAGGAGACTAAAGTTATGACCCAGATAATTATAGAATTTGAGGTGAGTCGAGATCAAATTCAGTCTGTGTACAATTTTTTCAGTACATAAAGGGTTAAGAGTAACTCTCCACCACTGTAACTAGATACTATATACAGTCAGAAAGTGCAACAACTAGGCACAAAACTGACAGAGTACTGAGGCATTCGACGTCCTGACACCTAGCTTCAACACATCTCCGTAGCGCTAACCGACAGCCTTCCAACTTGGAAGGTTCAAGGTTATGGAAAGACCAAAGAGGGGAAGGCAAGCGCAACGAAAACGAGCACAAGCTACAGTCCCAACGGAACAAAGAATGTCGATTGTCACTGGACGATGACGAGACCAGTAGGCGATTTGACAAAGCGGTCTAACTACAATTCGAAGCAGCAAAGCAGCACACCACCCAACTTGGGTGGGTCAAAAATATCAAAGATAAGTTAAGAAGGGGGAAGCTTTGCGAGAACGAATTGTACAAGCCGAAATCTAAACTCCTACAGTACTCCTCATGCATGACATTGTGATGGACTAGTTGACTACAAAACAAGTTGTTTTGGAGATGTGTTGAAGCTAGGTGTCAGGACGTCGAATGCCTCAGTACTCTGTCAGTTTTGTGCCTAGTTGTTGCACTTTCTGACTGTATATAGTATCTAGTTACAGTGGTGGAGAGTTACTCTTAACTCGTTTCCATTATTATGTCCTTTTCCTTTCTACTTTTATTATTGGCTCAATACCCGAGTTTCAAATTGCACACCTGATGAGCCGTCACGAACCATACGGCGAAACGTACGTCGTGTGAAACAACTTGTTTTGAATGCCCTGGCCGCTTTTGACAACAAGGACAATGGGACGTGTTGTTTGATACGTTCGGACAAGTGTTGAAGCGTCCTGCCAACATACCGACTACCGCACTGTCGGCATTCAAAATGATAAATGAGGTGACTCAAATGATGGGTCGGCAGGACGTCCTTCAACACCGTGAACGAACGTATCGTGGTGAAGACAGTTACTACATTCACTGCATAGTACGTCTTCTGGACAATAGACTTGACAATACGACTGACCTTTGTCGACTCCGCGCCTTTCCAAGGCAGGCACAGGAAGACACGACAAGGAGCCGGGCCGATTGTCAGTTCCTTACGGGGCGCATTGTTCGTGAGTAGTTTCGCTAATAGTGATCCTGGATATCCGTTCTTAAGAAAGACAGAGCGAAGGAAATCAAGTTCTGCTTGCAGTTTACTCTCGGAGCAAATGCGTCTTGCCCTGTCAGCTAAGTTTCGGACTAGATTGGTCTTGTATTGCGAAGAGCAATATGAATCGTACATAATATACTGA